ACGCGCTCGTCCTTCCACTGCTCCTTGGTGTAGTCGTCGGGCCACTCGGCCGTGTGCACCACGCGACCCTTGAACCTGTCGTGCAGACCGGGGACGTCGGGCCACTTCCAGGCGTTCAGGAGGCCCGTGCCGTACAGCAGGAGGTCGCAGTGCTCCTCGAACTCGCGGGCCTCCTGGCCCGGCAGCTGCTGCCGGAGCTTGACCAGCCACTGGCCCTTGTCCTGCTGCCAGTAGCACCCCGTCACCTTGGTGTGGAAGGTCATGTACTTGCGCAGGTCGAACGTGTTGCACACCAGGTCGAGGTACGTCCAGATCTCGGCCGACTGCGAGAAGAACCTGGGCCAGTCGGGATACTAAAAGGTTATCGTTAATACAGGCTTATTCAAGAATATCGACGGCATCTAACCTACCAAGGCGAACTGAAAGGTGTATGCATGGCTGGGCACGTCACAGGCGGCATAGGGGTAGCGGTTCTCCAACCATGTTCCTAGGATGCGCCCCACGATGTCAGTTCACGGGAGAATGGGGTCGGTCAACAGCATCATTGCGAGCCGCCCCGTCGTGTGATCCTCCCATGTAGGGCCGGCATCCTCGGAACCCACCTCCAATATCTGCGTTCTTCTCGTAGATGACGTGCTCGACGTTCTGGCACTCCTTCTGGAGAAGGTACGCCATCATGATACCAGAGACCCCGGCGCCGATCGTCAGAACACGCATCTTGCGGTTCTGGGGGTCTCGCCAGGTCGTGTCCTGGGGGATGTGGTAGCCCTGGGCCCCGGGCGGGGTCGCGTAGAACTCGCGCGCGGCGGTGCGGCCGCCGGTGGACTCCGAAGACGGCATTTTGGTAAGCTCGCTGGATGGACTGGCTACCTAAGTTGTTCAGATCCAGTTCTAGCAGCCAGGTAGGTACCTAGGCAGGAGGCGTGCTCATTTATGTACACGTATTCCCCCTCCTTTAGGTGTAACAGTGATGACAGCTGCCCAATACTTGCTTATTCGCCTCGCACTAAATCCGAGGCAGTTGGATGGAATGTAACCCTCCATCAGCCCGCATGTATGGCGCAGCACGTCACGACCGCTACCGGATATGTACCCCGTGGGGATTCGTCCGGTTCGTGGGTGCTCACTACGTCCACACCACTTTATTCCGGGGTGCTCAGTACGCTCCCACCCGTTTTTTGGTGCTTACCCCTCTTTCTTATCATTATGCCGAGGGGATTTAGTAGGCGTACAGTTTGTCACTTCGCCGTTTCTAGCCGCTCGCAGTGTCGTGCATAGTCGAGTCCTAGGTGGGTAGGTAGCCATGCCGCACCGGCTAGGCCAAGACACGGTCGCAGGGATGGCCGCGGCTGTCGGGTTCTCTCGGATCGTGTTCAGAAAGTGGGCTAAATGTACGAGTAGAAGCATGCATATCCCTGGTCTTTGGCCCTGCGGTGACGCACAAGTGCTTATCCCCACTTACTTACGATGCTGCTGCGGTGGCTGGGTCCATTGTGATATCGAGTGCTTCTGCACGGGGGAACGCACAAAGTTATCGCCGGACCGCGATAGACGCAAGTGCTACAAAAAGTCAAACTCCATCTCCTTCGCATCGTCAAAATACGCCGCCATACTCCGAACCCCCTTGAAGCAGCCGATCCGGCGCTTTTGCCTCCCATTCGACCCTCCCACATCCGCCAAGAGAATTCCAAACGAAATGTTGGAGCTGTTCCCTCCATCCACTTCATCCCTTTCGCCGCACACGATCAAGCCGCACTCCAAACGCAGAGGCGGCCTGTCGAGATCTTGGCTGGCGTCAAACTCGCCGTCCTTTTCCGTGTACTCGGAAAACTGCTTATCTTCCGGGAGGCGAACAAAGTCGTCGAACAATGCAGCACCGACGCACTCCTTCAAATGGGTAGGCAAATCGTCCACATCTTCCCGATATTTGCGCGCCGCGTCGTCCCATACGTCGGTCTTGTAACAGAAGCCATGCCGATGGCGGCCCTCCCAACCAGGACCTTTTCGTGGGACAGCCAGGACGGTCTTCACCGGACAGCGCAGCCGCAACGCCTGACTTTTTCCCATAACCCGCCCAAAAGAGTCCGTCATAGGCATGCCGACCACGCAGATCCGGTTGACGACCCTGTACACCTCGGCGAGCTCTTGTGGGAGCAGCCGTAGCTCGCCGTGTGCAAAGTTCTCGATCCTGCCGTCGAAGGACAGCCAGGACCAGGACGGCAAGCCCGTGATCCTGCCTCGGTCGTAGCCCGCCCCGAATCTCGCTCGCTCTTCCGCGCTCCGCTCGTGCATCTCCTCTGCGCTCCAGAGCAGATCGATGTGCAGCTTGTCGAGCCAGACGCCAGCGACGTAGGGACCATTTCCCTCTTGGTAGAACTCCTTGACGGCGTGGATGGCGAGGATCTTGTCGTCTAGAACCGAGAGCTTTCTCGACGAGTAGTGCTCGGCCGTGGTCGGCCACCCGTAGTCCAGGTAGTCGGTTGCTTTGCTGGGCTTGTTGCCGATGGACCTGTGAGATGCAGCCTGCGCACCTGGCGGGGACAGGAGGAACTTTAAGCCGACAGCGGCAATCCACTTGTCGGAAGAAGGGACGCCGCCTGCTCTCGAGCCAGCCTTGCACACCCAGTAGGGCTGGAAGCTGGAGAAAAAGAGGATCCGCGTAGACAACATCGCCTCCTGCAGCGTCCACGCCCTTTGATGCAACGGCTCCAGCTTCTCAACCGGGATTCTTTTCCCGCTGTCGCTCTGGACGGTGTCCCAGGCGTCGATGAAGGCATCGTCTGCGCTGGACCATTGAGCCTCCAGCACAGTGCCGTCCGGCCCGGGTATCGGCGCGGAGAAGCAGGGCAGCTTCCTCCCAGGCTTTAGGAACCCATCCGTACAGCCCTCGGCGGCACTGGCGGCGATGGTGAGGTAGGCGGCGGCGTAGATGGCTCCCATCTCGGCGATCTCGGCGGTGCGATCGCCATCGTCGTCTTGGACGATGCAGAGCGCGTCAACCCATAGGTAACGTACCTGAAGCCTTCGGCAGGTGATGATGGCGTCGTGAATCGTCCGTGGGAGGAGGGAGACGTCGATCTCGCGCCGATGCTTCTCGATGTTCTCCTTTAGTGTCCGCAGCTGCTTGTGGTGCGCCGGATCTCCCCAGCAATAGCTCAGTGCTGCGTAATCGGGCCTCTGCTCTGAAGGCGGGAGTTCAAGGACTCTGACATTGGGTAGGATCTCCAGAGGAGAAACGTCTAGGACACGCCGAGGAGATTGGGTAGAGGATGCCCGAGTGGTGAGGCACTGATGGCTAGAGTTGCACTCCTGAATCCAATCATGGATCGAACGAAAAGTCGAGTCGGAAGCGGTGTCCCAAAGAGGCAGCCGGGCTGGAATGACTGCCGTGGCGGGGGTGTCTGCAGTCGTGTCACATCCTTGTTATCACTTTCGCCGTGAACTAGACGGTACAGTCGGTGCTCGTGCTTACTGTGAGCTGCCAGTATCGAGAAGTTTGGACGATGGTCCGATGGACGTCCTGGGCCAACCAGCTCCACCAGCGGCGGCTGGACGGGGTCCCGCCGGGTGTTTGTTGACGCCCGCTCAATGTAGTTGAAAGTCAGAGACACAGAGCCAAATTCGAGCCAGCTGGGCATCAGCTGAAACCGATAGGCCGTCTCTAGCAGCCCTCGGGCCACAGCATTATTCCAGCTGCCAGGGCGCGAGCCGCCGCTCAGCATCCGCTCCAGCGAATGCTCGTTGGTCAATATCTTGTCGAGATATGCTGAGACAGTTCGACAGATGGGGCAAGTGACTCCGTGAAGCGCCGTACGCTTGCGTTTGAAGACGACGCTGCTTACGACTGTCCCTGCCAAGAATGGCCGAGAGCCAGGCCCCGGGGCGGATTTCCACGCGGAGAAAGTGTGCCTGCACTCTTCGCAAAGATTGCCTTCCATGAATAAAGTGCCATAAAGGGATAGGGTGCGGAAAGGTTGATTATAACAGTTGGTTAATAGACTCAGAACTTGGATTTTAGATGCATCTGATTTTTCACATGATTGTCTTTTTTTTGTTGCAAGAGAACCGAGAAAGTTTCAAGGCAGCCACTCCCATTTTAAACAAATTTGATTAAACGCGGGCAGATACCGCTGCAGCTCTCATTGGGTAGCTGCATGCTTACACACGTGGCTTTCTTCTACATGCCAGCGGAAGCCATCAACAAATCAAGGTGAGAAGAGTCCAGCCAGATGCCTGTGTGGCTGGAAAGATCCCGCCCGGGCGCTTGAAAGTGCATATCAAAACCCCTGCTCCACTTCCCAACTACGAAGTGCTAAACTGCAGGCAGTTTCGCGTTTGTTGTGGCCTTTCCGTTCATATTCTAAAGAGTTCTTAATTTCCACAGTGCGGTCAGCCGTCTGCGGGTTATTCTTTCATGACCAGAGTGAATGGATGCTGGAGGGAGAAGCTGGCCGAACAGGCGACTTGTTCTCGTACACGCGCTGCTTCCCGGCCCGATCTGGTTTGAATACCTCATCATCATAGTCGGCCAGGGCGTTGTATATGGGCGGAAAGACCTGTCCGTTCAATCGGTAAATAGTAGTGATCTTTACCTACACAATTACTAGAACACGGAAATGAAATGGACTTGAAAACACAAAAGCGGCGAGTTGTCGGTCGATTCAAACGCCTCCCAAGGCGTCTTCCAGTTTGGAGCTCCTGCTTTCCTCTTTCAATATCTCCCACCTCAACACCGCTCCATTTACTCGCCCCAGCTTACTCGCAGCCCAGTCAGCCATGTCCGACGTTCGACTCATCCGCTATGAGTCACTCCCGCCATCCCGCCGGCCACGGACGGCGGCAGGGCAAAACCCTACACCCAGGTGGGCCGCTCACAGCATTTAACCCTGCGGCCGGCTTCTGCCACCAACAAGCAAGCGATCATCCGATATGGTGTAGTGGCTAACATCCGGCACTCTCACTGCCGAGCCCGGGGTTCGATTCCCCGTATCGGAGCCATCGCCCGGTTAGCTCAATCGGTAGAGCGTGAGACTCTTAAGGCTACGGTCAATCTCAAGGTTGCGGGTTCGACCCCCGCATCGGGCTCAATTCCCGGTGCGCCTGTGCTACACAGGTCCATCAACCTCTTTTTTTCTTCCTCTCTTATCTGGTAGGGAAGTTTTCCTTTAGCCATCGTACTGTGCTTTGGGTCAGGAAAGGCTGGCAGAACAAATACAAGATCACTTTATTTCCATTTAACATTGCGGAATTCAGATTTGTTTGCAAACCGAGGTGGGATGTTTTTAAAGGTTAGGTCGATGCCTAGGAAGAAGGATAAAAAACCGCGGGATTTCGATATAAAGCTTTATAATGGTGTGTTCTTTACAGCCAAACCTCTGCGTCTTTTCCTCCGCAGTCTCGGCAAAAATGGTACTTGAGCGTGAAGAAGCCAGTTGGCAGTTGGCTTGGTTGATCAAGCAACTCTTAGCGTGCTCGAAACTTTCCTTTTCTTGTCTGCACTTCCAACCGCCACGCCCGTGTCAGCAGCCTAGCGTCAAACCCTAAAGCGAGAGTTGGAATCGCTGGCTTTGTTAGGGTGGTTGGGGTGCGTTCGTAGTTAAGCACAGCAATACGCAGGAGGCAGGAGGCGGCCCTGCTTCCACATGCCGACTAATTGACGCATGTTCGCAGTAGCAGCCTCCTTTCCGGCTTATAATGCAAGCTATAGGTTGCTACCAGCAGCGGCTGGTTTACGGCTGTCTTTGGGAAGGTCGCATATCAACCTCTGCTAGGATACCCGACGGGCCAGGTCAGTCTTCATGCTCTGCCCGGCCCCGAGCCATCATGAAACTCTCCGCGGCCACTTCGTTGCGCCTCTTCTCGGCCCTAGCACTTCTTTGGCCGTCCGCTAGTCCTTCGGTACGGGGCCGGATCGGGAGCTGGTGCAGGCAAACGGACGCAGACGCTGCATGTCCTCCCTCGCCACCTCCAAAAGCTATCCGCATTGTGCCATTTACGAAACCGAGACGATTTTTTTTGGCGGAACTGGATTCACCAAGACCGATCCTGCGCGACTTCTTAAGTACCCATGCGGATGAGAGGGAGGAAATGATCCCATGATCAAGTCTCCCGCAGTCACCGACCAGGTCGAACGCGGGAGCTTGTCGTTGATGCCTCCGCCGACACGTGCAAGAGCCAAGTTGAGTTGCACGAGACCTTCACGCTGCGACTCGGGCAACTGCGAGAGGGCCGGTGTTCCCCAGGAGGCACACGCGGCGCACAAGCGTCTCGGCGATCTCCAGGGCAGGCGGCTGCTCAATACGTTTCGCATTTCCGGACGGGCACGCCGATCGAGCCGCTCGCAGCAGGACTGCAGAGGCGGTGCAGCGGGTTGAAGAAGAATTCGTGGCGTCAGGACGGGCAGCAGTACCTCAGGCCATGGTAGGACGCAAGAGGGTGAGCCGCCTACCAGGGCAGGGCTCGTACGACGAGGACATCATGAAGGGATTGATGGGGAACAAAGACCCAAGTTTCTCGGCCAAGATCGGCGACCCGTGCGGCATCATCGGCGCCAGCGTTGGCTTCAATTTGCGGATGGTAAGGAGCGACGCCGGTCTTGTACGAGGCTGCCCATCCCGGCTGGCAAGATCGGTTGCGCTGGATTTACTCCCTATATACAAGCGAATCAGTGGTGGCCTGGCTTCGTGCGAGGCCGGCGGTCCTTACGTCGCTGGTGGCGTCTTAATTGGAGACTACTCTTTCGGTTTGTAGGGGCGATTAGATGGACTGTTTGCTTCCGGGAAGCTGGCTGGGTCGTGCATTCCCCCGCCCTCCATGTTCTGTTCCATTCCTCCTTTCTTGCCCTCCCGAGGATGCCTAGTCTAGAGGTTTAAACGGCAATGCAAACTAGCATGGTTTAACACGACGTGCAAGTCCAACTTCGTTTTGGGAATGAAGGTTGGGCAATGGACGCTGCAAGAGCAGAGCCATGTCACAGGAGAAACACATCCCGTCGACGCTCGCCACACCTAATCCAACACGCCCAACAACAGCGCGCCCGTAACAGTAACCATAGGCGCATACCCCCAATGGTTCCACTCGCCCTTCCCGTGCGCCCGACACACGAGCCCGTCGGTGAAGGCGACAGCGCCGAGCGCGACCAGCAGCCAGCCGAGGGTCGACGTGTGGCCGTTGAGGCCGGCCGCGAACACGGCGACACCAACAAAAATGTCCCGCACGCCGTACACGACCATCAGGCTGTCGACCACGCGCCGGTCCGCGGGCGCCTTGGGCGGCGTGAACTCGAAAAAGGTCAGCGCGTGCGCGGGACGCAGGATCGCATTGATGCCGAAGGCCGTGATGATGGCGCCGAAGGCGTATGCTGCCCATTGGAAGAGGGGCGATTGCGAGAGCGGCGGCATTCTTATTTGGTTGGTTGCTTGGTTGCTTGTCTGTCTGTCTGCCAGTTCCCGCGTGTGCTCGGAGTTATCGGTGCAGCTTCGACA